TCATTTTTACCTTCCATTTTTATTTATTTTTACCTTATTACATTTTGTCTTCTATACTCGTTCTTTCAAGTTCAGTAATATTTAAAAAAAATATTTTAAATTATTTACGTTACAGGCCAATGTTAAACCACTATCACTTCAAAATATACCCTCACTCCAATGAATTTGGAAGTAAACATCATCACAAGTTACACAACAACAGTAATTAAGTTTTAGTTTATAAGATTATAATTTTTAACTTTTCATTTTACACCTGAAGATGGTTCAATGTAACCGAAACATGTAGTAAAAAGTTGTACCAAATATGTAAATGATATTATAATATCTTATGTATAAATTTTATTTATATACAATTGTGATTAGACGGGGAAAAAAACACGAATAATTTGATGAGATAATTAGCTCGCTGAACGGAAAATAATCTACTGGAAGTTTTAATCTGTGACGTAGGAATCAACAATTTTTTAAAACACACTTTAATTCGGTAAGGTTTACACTTAATTTTTATATGGTTATATTTCTAAAATGAAATGAGTCTCAGCCCAAAGACGAAGCGTCCCAGGGCCCATGTGTTTGTTGCAAAATTTTGTTCCTTTGGTATTTATACAAAGCCGTCATTTGGCGATGACGTGTCCTGGAGTCCTGAAGTCATTGGCGCTGCATTGTGTTGCAGGTGTGGTTCCAGAACCGACGAGCCAAATGGCGTAAGAAGGAGCACACGAAGAAAGGACCTGGACGCCCGGCACACAACGCTCACCCTCAGACGTGCAGCGGGGAGCCTATCCCGGAGGAGGAGCTTCTGCGTAAAGAGCGGGAACGCCGCGAGAAAAAGCTCACCAAGTCACTGGAGCGACAGCAGCGCAAACTGGCGGCGAAAGGAATCGCTGTCGACATCGCCACCTTGCGGCGAGACTGGGAAGCTAAGCGGGAAATGACGTCATCGTCAGGCGCTACCAGAGGCGTCGGTCACGTGTCCGCTGACAGCAGCGTTACCACCGGAAGCCCGGAAAGTCAGCGTCGTCAAACTAACAACGACGACGATGATGATGATGATGATACAGATATTGACGTGGAAGATGATTCGACAATGGACAAAAATATTTACCACGAATCAGAAACGCGATATCAAGACGAAGTTAATATCACATCGGATGAGGAATCGAATTATATCGCTATAAATTCCACGCCATCAGCAATAGACGCCAATGACAAACAAAGGATAGCAACTCTACCGGGATGTGACGCAATTACTTATCGTGACGACTCCAAGCGGATGGCACAGGAACTAACATCTGAAGGAAGAAAATCGCCAAATGAAACGTCGAGACCTTCCACGACGAAAAGATCAAACTCGTTCAGCATAGAAAGTCTTCTTTCTCATGCGGAAGGGTACACGGACTAATTTTTGTGTCGGATATGAAAATATTTTATAGCAACTTTTATAAAACGTGTTTTAATTTCTTCAGTTCTATTTCACAAGACCCACGCTTCTGAACAAAAACGCAAACTGGTTGGAGAATAAGTTCCGGGAACGGCTTAATCCCGCTTACCGTTTGTTAGAAAATATATCAAAAGATGTCCAGTGGACACGAATTTAAAATTTTACGTCTCACTTAACAACTCGTCAACTTTTAACGGGAGTTGAACTCCTCAAAGTCTGCGCAGAATAGGTTTAGGATAATCGTCCCCGGGGCTATTAACGAGACAGACTATTTATGTTTAGAACTAAGGAGTGCAAAGAATCCTGAATGAAGCCAGAATCAGCCAAAGGACTCTGTTTAAACAAAGAGTCCTATTAGGTGCGTACTATCTCTTGTGTAGGTCCTTAAAAAAGGCTATCTGTTTTAACGACTATTATTTAGTATCGATTAATATTTATCGAAGGAGTAACGTTAAAAGCAAAAATGTCGTCTTCATCAAAATCTTCCGATGATTATTACGTCTTTAAAAAACTTTGAAATACGATGGAGATTTCGCGAGAATTTTTGGGCACTTGAAATGCTCCTGTAAATGCGGACCAAAAGTTTGTTCACAGCGGATGATGAAGGCCACATCTCAGCAAGGGCAGGGCATGGGCGCGAGGAAGGTGTAGCATGTACCATGTCCTCGGCAACAGTCCCGATTATCCGACATAATCTTGACAGACGGATGTTCGGATAATCGAAAATATCAGTTAATACAGAAGATTAGTGAAAAAGACGAGGGTAGGCCTATATACCAAGTAAATTCGTAGCCAGAAGAAAGGTCATTACGGTGTCAAATGACGAAACGTCGGATAACCGGGGCTCTGTATTTTAATCAAGGTGTAACAAGGGTAAGTTTCCCGTACCATTCGAAGGGCTACGCGCGGTCGACGTCAAACAAGATTCCAGGTTGCCTTCAGCCATCAAGGTCAAGTTGTCTTCGGTTCTGTGCCGCCGATGGACTTCCGACGGCGTCACAGCATAGGCAGAAGGCGACGCCATGCGTCCTGCCCTAGGCCTCACAGGGACCTGACCTTCCAGTGCGAACAAACCACAAGAAATTGAAGATGCCGCGAAAATGAAGGGAATGAAATAGGAAATTATATTTTTACGCCGAAATTTAACACAATCTTCATAGTAGTTGAGCAAAATGTCTTGAACAGAATAGCTTGAGTTCTAACGCGTGAAATATGGTATTATAACTACTCAGAAATCTAATCCTTGTAGAATATTTTTTTAATTATCGTTCTATATTTCCTTGCCTTTAAAAACTTTGGTTCCCATAATTTCACCAATGGGTGTACAGAAATTTATACAAAATATCCGCTTACGTCTAACGCCACAACCTTGAATCTGTTTCTCGCTGTAACTTTCATCTTACTTCTTCAAAACCCAAATTAAATAGATTTTTATCAATTATGTACTCAAAGTTATTCAACATCCTACTCTTAAGGTTGACTGCAAAAACACACTAAATTATCTGAGGAAAACTATTGTGGATTTCCACCAAACATATCACCGACTGATTAGATATTATGCATTTGTCAGACAGTGGACAAAATGCAGTGTACAATGGGACTCTAGGTCATTATATATATATTTACGAGTGTCAAGGAAGACTATTTTTCAGCGAGGAGAAACACCAAATACTACAAAACATTCTCATTGAATTCATTGTAAGTTTCCTCATAGAACGTGACGAGCTAATTAAAATGTGTTTAAAATAACGTATAATAAAGTCCGTTTAGAGAGCATTTATCTCACGAATTTTCCATCATGAATGTTTTGAAACAAGGAGATGCTATATCAGGACCGATCTTCAGGGCTGGAAAAGATGCTAAATCCAGAAGATCTGTTAACGGCTAGTGGGAGAATCGATCTTGAAGTAGGAGCAGAGTGAACTGACGTTCATGCATTGGGAAATGTTGAACCAGTTTCACTCAACCGTCCGATACCATCAAACATGTCAAAACAACTGAGTAAGAGCTGGTGGTCCAGCGGTTAGAACGCTGGCCTTGTAATCCTGGGGTCTCTTGGGTTCGATTCCCGGCGGTGCCCGAATTTATAACTTGTGTTGGGCAAGGCCGTGGTCTAGGCAACACGGAGTTTTCCTCCGTGGCATCCCAACAATTACTCCATTCACACACAGAAGAAGGCAATGGCAAACCACTTATGGATCATCTGCCAAGAACGTATATGAACAGGGCCCAGTCCGAGAAAAAGAGGGAAGGATCCTGTTCATATGGACCGGTCGTCAGACAGAACACTAAATAAAAAAAAAATTACAAGTGGCGCTATTATCGGTGCCAGAATATTGCAGGAAATTTCTAAAGTGCGATTTTAGGGTCGTTCAAAATGACATAAACTTTGTACCAAATTTCATCCAAATCCATCCAACGGTTCTCGAGGTAAATCACGTGGACGGAGAGACAGACATGACAGACCTGTTGATTATACGTATATAATAGATACATGCGGTTTGAAACCACGTCAGTGAACAGGTCGAAAGGTACAATTGTGTTTGCTTTCTGAAGGAGACGGTACATTATATAAAGTCAATATTAAACACGGAAGAATTTCCGTGTTGGAGTTTTCTGTGGTGATAAGAATATGGATGTTTGTTTTAGAGGAAGGTTTAAAAAATATATATAATTTTATAGGACGTAATCAGTTATTTAAAAAGCTAAAGTCAGGTCGTACTGGAATCAAAACTTCGAAAATAGAAGAAAATATTACCCTGGCAATAATAATTTTGTACGTGAAACACAAAGTTCAAACGATAATTTGTGGCTGTATTTTGCTACGTTACTAAAGTTCTTACAACTGAGTGCAATAGCACTCCACTTCTTGAAATGTTACATTCTATAATTATCAATTAACTTCAGAGTTCCTGTAAAACAGTTCATCCTGTGTCACTTCCGTATTTATTGCTCGAGCTTTAAACTACGAAATTTGCTCCATTTCCTTTTGACATTTCTTTTTCCGGAAAACTCAAAGACTACGGGGGATGTTTCTGTAGTAGGGGTAATTATTTATACACGCTCCACCTGCTGAAATGCTAGACGCTACTTTACAGCAGAAATAACGGGAATTAGACGAAAGGCTTTTTAAAAATTAATATTAACCTATTTTCATAACAAAGGAGACATAGAATATTCTTCTTGTGCGTTAAAATTTGATATTTGTGCTTTTATTTCCTTTCTAACTTCTTCTTATTTATTTTGCGACAGGAAAAAGTGCACTTAACAAATCACTCGATTGATATGCTCGAGTAGATACTCCAGTGCTGTCGAAAATGTCTTTAGTTTCGAGCTAAAAAGCTTCTAAATTTGGATTTTCGGTCGGAATTTTATACGAAACGTTATTTAAATAATAATAATTAACAAATATTTATGACTGTTTTCTGCAGGAACACCGTCGTCTAAGCTCAAGGGCGAAAAAAGTATTTAATGAACATTATTTTTCGAACGCGGAAAATCTGATTATACGCGGTCTGCCGAACACATTGTAGTACCATCCAAAAAGTAACACTAGTTTTTTTTTTTTTTAAAAAAAAGGTAAAAGACATCTTAGCTTTCGGTTGTAGTTGTAGAACCAACTTGGTTTGCTTTATTCAGCGTATGTAAAAATGTAAATATTTAACGCAACTGTAATCCTACCATTTATTCCTCTCGCGTCTTCCAACCCCTCTGCGTCACACAAGCTGCATGTAATCCACTGTCTCATTCTCGCTTACGCTGTTACCGCGTTAACTTGGATCGTTTTATTTTCCCTTATTTTACTGTTTGTATAATTGCCCTAGGACCTGAACGTAATTGTAAAATAGATAATGAATCGAACAAAAATATCGTAAGATAGAACGCTGGCCTTGTAATCTTGGGGTCTCGGGTTCGATTCCCGGCGGTGACCGAATTTATAACTTGTGTTGGGCAAGGCCGTGGTCTAGGCAATACGGAGTTTTGCTCCGGGGGCTTCCCCGGTTTCTCCGTGGCATCCCAACAATTACTCCATTCACACACAGAAGAAGGCAATGGCAAACCACTTCTGGATCATCTGCCAAGAACGTATATGAACAGATCCCAGTCCGAGAAAAGGATGGAAAGATCCTGTTCATATGGACCTGTCGTCAAACAGAACACTAAATAAAAAAACCTTACCTTACCTTACCTTACATTACATTACCTTACATTCAGCTACCACAGACCCATCTTAAGCGTAACTAATTCAA